TTGGGAGAATCCTGGTACCAGGGAAACTCTCAGGAATACACAGGATGAACCTAGCTAAGACTCCTAGCAATAGTGGAAAGGGTGCCTGAACTGACCTTCCCCTGTAGTCAGATTTATAACTACCCTAATTGTCATCATAGAGCCTTCATCCAGTATCTGATGGATGCAGATGCAGAGATCCACAGCCAAGCACTGGGCTGAGCTCTGGGAGTCCAGTCGAAGAGAGAGTGGCGGGATTATATGAGCAAGGGGGAGAGTCAAGATCATGACAGAAAACCCAGAGACAGCTGACCTCTACTTGAGGGAGCTCATGGACTCTGGCTGGACAGCTAGGGAGCCAGCATGGGAGCAACCTAGCCCTCTGTATCTGGGTGACAGTTGTGTACCTTGATCTTTTGTGGGGCCCCTAGCAGAACCAGGACCTGCTCCTGATGTATGAGCTGACTTTGGAACCTATTCCCTATGTTGTTCAGCCTTTATGCAGTGTGGAAGAGCTTGGTCCTGCCTCAACTTGACATTCAATGCTTTGTTAATTCCCAAGGGAGACGTTACCTCATCTGAATGGAGATGGAGGAGTTGATGGGTGTGAGTAGAAGTGAGGTTGGGAGTGGGAATGGGAGAAGAAGAGGGAGGGAAAATTATGGTTTGTATGTAAAATAAAATAAAGGAAAAACATAATGGTAATAAACCTTTGCTCAACACACAAGTGACAAAGAATTAATATGCAGAATATACAAAGAACTAAAGAAACCACCAAAAAAAAGACACCCTAAACATGAGCTAATAAAATGAACATAGTTCTCTAAGATAAACTGCAAATGGTCAATTAATGTATGGCTATCCTTCTTCCTCATAGCAATCCTCAAGAATTAAAACTCTTGTGATTTTCAAATTATTTTGAAAACATTTTTTTATAATTTTTTATACACAATATGGGAAGGTTTCTAAAGAAGTACAGAATTTAAGAAGACTTCCAAAACCAAATGAGGAGACAATTTATACAATTTGATACTACCATTTTGCAATACATTTATACTATCAAATAGGAAGTTATCTGGAGACAAATGAAGAGCAATTTGCCTCTGAGGAAATCATATTTGCAAAATTTACTTTATTAATAACTTTTAGTTTGGTCTTTTCTTTTTATTCTTTTGGAAGTAAAGGAGATTAAAGCCAAGGCTCAGTTTATTGGGATTGTTTTGAAGTTTCCTTCATTCAAATCTCATAAATATTTACTGTTTACTCACAACGTCATTTTTTTCACCAAACTGTCAACATTAGGATTATAACCATTAGTTTTTTTCAGAACTATATACACAGAGAATGAATGCCTCTATTTTGTATGTGTAATTCAGAATGTTCCTTATCTACCATGTTGACACATGTGGGATGATTGAAAACTAGTACCTAATACAAATGCTTTTTTCTCTGTCCATCACTCAGCTTCCACAAGAAAACTCAAACTTTTTAATTTAGTCACAAATGAGACCAAGATTGTATACTATTTATGTAAACAGATTCATGTATTTATACTGACCTAAAAAAAATAACTTGCCCAGGTCTGACTTTGCATGCTTGTATGTTTTGATGATAGTTGAAAAGCAAAGTGTAAAGAAAGGGTGGGTGTGGTAGCCCATACCTTTAGTACCAGCACTAGGGATGCAGGGGCAGGCAAATTTGTTAACTCAAAGACAGTCTGGTTTAGACAAAAAGGTCTAGGCCAGCCAAGACTACATAGTGAAAAACTGTCTTAAAGCAAACAAACAAACCAGAAACCCATGGCCAGATATTAAACAAAGAGACCTTGGAATACACAGCTCTGAATAGGATGTCTCCATCAAATCCCTCTCCTCAAAGCTCAGAAGAGAACCCTGAAGAAGAGACACAAAGAGTGTAAGAGCCAGAAGGAATCTGGGCCACCAGAACAAGACCCTCTAAATCAACTGACCAAAGCTCATATGAACTCAGAGACTGAAGTAGCAGGTCCTTTGCATATATATTATAGCTTCCAGATCAGTATTTTTATGAGACTCCCGAGTGTGTAAACAAGTGAGCCTTTGATTTATGTGCTTGCTCTTGGGACTCTTTCCATTTTGTTGGATCGCCATGTCCAGCCTCGATGTGGTTGTTTGATTTATATCTCTTAGAAAAACATTCTTTTCTAATGAGAAGGTGGATCTTGAGAGGGGAGGTGGGAAGGAAATGGGAGGAGAGGGAAGGGAAACTGCAATCAGGATACAGTGTATGAGAAAAGAATTTATTTTTAATAAAAGGGGTAAAAAAGTATAAAAAGGAGAGGAAAGCTGGATTTTTTTTTGACAGCAATGATAGACTGAACTGACTTTCTGATGAGTATGAATAGCATTCGTGATCTGTAGTGTGGCTATCATGTGTTCAAATGCACAAAACTGGTACTATTCAGATTATGCACAATGAATAGTTTATTTAAAAAAAACAACTTTTTAAAAACTAACTTTACATCAAGTGATAGAAGCATTATTAACAGTGTAGGCCAGGGGTTAGTGATCAGCAGTTTGTGTGTATTAAACACACCTCATTGACATTTTTTCCTTTACCATAATTTATTTGAAAGCTACCTTGTAAATCTTGTAATGCTAAGAGGTATTGATAGTGATGGGAAACAAAGTCCAGTATACTTTCTGAAACACTAGATGAAGGCGAAAAACAAGTCCACACAACTAGGACTGCAATCCTATAAAAGCCAATCTTCTGGAACTTCTTATGTAGACTAGGCAGGACTTGAATTCAGAGATCCTTCGAGTGTTGGGATTAAAGGTGTGTGTCATTGTGTCCCGAAACTGGCATCTTTAAAATGGGATTAACTTGTACATATTAATTACTTCCTCAACAATAAGAAAACCAAACGATACTGAATTGTAAATCAGTTTATTTATGTGCATGTGTGCGCTTGTATGGGCGCAGGTGTCCTGGGAGGTCAGATGTGTCGGATATGACTGTGAGCTGCTGGACATAGGTTCTAGGATTAATGTTGACTCCAATGCAGTATCAACACAGGATCCTTTAACAGCTGAGCCATTATAGTGCACAACATTCCTTAATACTAGTAATAGTTACAGCGCTTAAGTATACTTATAATGAGTTATGGCATGTAAAAAGCACTAAAAAATCTTATTTGGGATTGGTGTAGGGCTCAGGGGGTAAATCTCTTGACCCCCCCCCCTCTCTCTCTCATATACACACACACACAAACACACACCAAAATGCAAAAAAAAAAAACTTATTTGGAGAAAATAGACATCACAAAATACAACCATAGTATCTAAGTTTGAGAAAACTGGAGTGCTCATTCAAATACGTGGAAATTGCCAAGGAATTAACAATGAGAAGTTTTTTAAAAAAAGAATCTACTATGTAATGACACCCAGAAAAATACTAACACTGATACATTTTCAATTTCATATCGAATACAACTATTCAAAAACTACCCAGTGGGCTAGTGAGATGGTTCAGCAGCAAGCCCATAAGCCTGAAGACCTAAATCCACCTTCAGGGCTTGCATGGTAAAAAGAGTTGTCCTCTGACATCCAAATGTGCACCCGAAACACTTATGCCCAAACACATACATGCCAACACATAACTGCAATTTTAAGAAGCATTTACTAGTATAGTCTACCAGATAATAAATACATTTCAATCCAACAAATCCAATATAGCTGTACAGTAAAGGGTAAAGCATTACCTCATGATTTAAAAAACAACAACCATAAAAAATACTCATTAAACTGATGGAAATGCAATTGACTTGCCAAAGTCCATCTCCACAATTCAGTTTATGTTCTTGCTCCTTAAGGTGGTGTCTTCATGGCCTTCAAATGTGAGCTCAGTTTTACTCAGCTCTTTGAGCAGCAGGGCCGACAGGCGTGTGCAATCATACTAAAATTATTCACTAACTTATACTTTCAATGAAAAAGAAAGTAAAGTCAAAAAAGTCTTGAGTAAGAATAGGCAAATGCTGTAAACACGCATAACTTTTACTTAATTTCTTTCAGGTTTTATTTAGGGATATTTATTTACATAAACTAATTTGCTCAAGATATCCACATTTCTTACTTTTATAAGATTCAATTACAAAAGAAAATCACAACATTCTTTCTTTTTCTGAGACTCATGTAGCTCAAGATGACCTTGAAATAGTTCTGTGAAAGAGTCTCACTTTCTCTTTCTTTCTGTTTTTTTTTTTTTTGAGTTGGGGTCTGAGTATCCCTGGCTGACCTGGACTGCAGAGAGATTTGCCTTCCTCTGCCTCCCAATTAATGGGATTAAAGATGTGTGCCACCACACATGGGTCTCTCCTATGACAATTTAATTTGTTTGGAACTGGTTTTCTTAAGTTTCATGAATTGTATCCATGCCCTCTGTATTCAGTGTTGCGATTTTCTATAATCTATCCCCTATACCAAGTGTTGGAATAAAAGGCATACATTATGATGTCTGGTGCAAGAGTAGGTGTTCATCCTATGTTCACTTGCACAGATGGGGAAAATTATACTTATGCTGATTTTATATTATCGCCAGTATATTTTCATGTTTTTATTTAAAGATATATGTGTATATTTTTCCTGTATGTATGTGTGTGCAACATTCAGAAGGCATTGGACCAACTGCAGCTGAAGTTACATAACTGTGATCCACCATGTGGTTGTTGTAAATTATACCCAGGTCATCTACAAGCACAGCAAGTACCCAACCACTGAGCTCTCAAGCCCAATCTTGCTGTGGGACAATGGTCTGTACCCTGTCACTTGTGTTTTAAATAAATGCTGAATGGCCAGTAGCCAGGCAGGAAGTATAGGCAGGGCAACCAGACAGGAAGTATAGGCGGGGTGAGAACAGGAGAATTTGGGGAAGAGGAAAGGTTCAGTCTGCAGTCCTCACCCAGACACAGAGGAAACCAGACGCAGAGCAAGCAAGATGTGTGACTGCCTCGCCGAAAAAGGTACCAAGCCACGTGGCTAACACAGACAAGAATTATTGGCTAATATAAGTTATAAGAGTTAATAAGAAGCCTGAGCTAATAGGCCAATCAGTTTGTAATTAATGTAGGCCTCTGTGTGATTCTCTTGGACCTAACGGCTGCCAGCCCGGGCGGGACAGAATCCTCCATCAACACATCTCTCCATTTGTTTTTGGAGAAAGTATACACAGGAAAGTACAAAATGTGAAACTTACATAAGAAACCTCACTCACAAGAAAAGCAAGACAGAGGCTGGTGGGGTAGCTTAGAAGGGAAAGGAACTTGTTGCCAAGCTTGAGGACCTGAGCTCCATCCCTGGGATTCACACAATGGAAAGAGAACTGATTCCAGCAAGTTATCTGCTGAGCTCCAGATTTACACCAGAGCATTGGTGAATCCTTGTCCAACACTTCATGCAAATAGATAAATAAGTAAACAAATAAATAAAATTTACACCAGAGCATTGGTGTATTCTTGTCCAACACTTCATGCAAATAAATAAATAAGTAAACAAATAAATAAAATTTACACCAGAGCATTGCTGTATTCTTACCCAACACTTCATGCAAATAAACAAACAAATAAGTAAATGATAAATATTTTAAAAAGCAGGTTGATTATTGTTACACATTGTTTACACAAGTATAAGCTCTACCCACTGGGTTTCTTTTCACTGTGAGATCTTTCATGTCTTTGAAGGTATGAGAAATACACAAACTCTTTCCCACATGGATTACACTTGTAGAATTTCTCTCTAGTAGTGTGAGTTCTTTCATGTATTTGGAGGGATGTGGAAAAAGGGAATGCTTGCCCACACTCCACACATACATATGGCTTCTCTTTAGTGTGTGTTTTCTCATGCCTGTAATTAGCACTGGAATGGGTGAAGGTTTTTCCACAATATTTACATGTATAGGGTTTCTCTCCAGTGTGAATTCTTTCATGTTTTTGAAGGTATGAGGAAAACATAAATGCTTTCCCACACTCTTGGCAAACATAGGTTTTCTCTGCAGTGTGAATTCTTTCATGGTTGTAACAGTTGCCCGCACTGATGAAGGATTTTCCACATTGTTTACATGCATAGAGTTTCTCTCTGTTGTGAATTCTTTCATGTTTGTGAAGGTTTGAGGATCGTCTGAATGCTTTGCCACATTGATTACATGCATAACGTTTCTCGCGAGTGTGGCGTCTTTCATGCTGGAGAAGATGGTAAGCATGAATACATGCTTTCCCACAATGTTTACATATATAATGTTGCTCTTTTTTGTGAGTTTTTTCATGATTTTGACGGGCCAGGGAATACATGAACGTTTCACCACAATGTCTACAAGAGTAAGTTTTCTCTCTTGAGTGAATTCTCTGATGTCTTGTCAAGTGACTGGAATGAATGAAGGTTTCACCACATTTCTTACACGCCAATGGTTTTTCTCCAGTATGGATCTTTTCCAATATTTGAACACAACTCTTTTCCTTCAAGGTCTTCTCAAATTGCTTACATTCACGTTGCTCATCTCCAGTGCAAGTTCCCCCATAATCTTGATGAGAACTGGGATTACTAAAAGATTCATTAGATTGCTTCCTTTCACATATGTTCTCTCTAGCAGGAGCACTCTCAAGTGTTTGAAAGGACTCAGAAGAAAGAAAATCTTCCTGACTCGACTCCTGTTTAATAGCCTTCTCCACATGTTCCCGACACACATATGGTTTCTCTTCAGTTTGACTTTGAATGATCATATGGGAGGATGAGTGATCATTGATGTCTTTTGCATAGATGCTGCTTTCATGAACTATGATTGCAGGATGACCGTGTGCGTTAACAACATTCTTGTGTATCTGTTGGTGGGTCTTTGCACATTCGCTACTGTGTTCATAGTCACAGAATCGCTCAATGACCTGAATTCTGAAAAAACAAAAATGGGGGGAAAATTATTCCTCTTTTATCACTAATAGTAGATGACGGATTTTGTGGTCTCCGCCTGTGTAGTATTCAGAAGGCACTGGCAGGAAGTGAACAAACTGAGGGCAAACTAGACCACAGTGAAAGACCCTGTCCTCCGAAGGAAAAGAAATGTACTGAGTTTGTTTCCATTAGAACTAATAAACACAAAGTACTGAACATTCAGCAAGGGCTGAGGACAGTATACAACCATAAAAGGTTCTGGAGTAATAGTTTGATAAACACTGTCTATGACATAGTTAACAAAGCTTATTCCTTATGCACTATGAGTCAGACATTCTCAAATTTTAAATAGCTGAATATCCTTCAGGCAATTCATTGAAGATGGGTCTCAATAGAAATGCCAAACTCACCTTTTCTTCCCACATAAACCTTATAAGGTCCAAAGGTAACTTGCTAAAAATACATCAAATAAATTTGTAGACAACAGGCAGTTTTATATAAGGACCCGCCGGTAAATGTTTCAGCTAAAGGGTGCACCGCATTTTGTTACTGCTCTCTCAAAACAGTGCAGTAAGAGGTGCAGTCCAAAAATTCCATGCAAGTACTACATTAGATTTAGGATTATCCACTTTTGAGTTCTCAAGTTCAGTGAAGTTTTACAGAAAATTTGAGATTAGGTCAATTTACATTTTTTGCTTTTTTTTCAAGACAGGGTTTCTTTGTGTAACAGTCCTGGCTGTCCTGGCATTAGCTCTTGTAGACCAGGCTGGCCTCGAACTCACAGAGATCTGCCTGCCTCTGCCTCCCAAGTGCTACGATTAAAGGCGTGCACCACCACTGCCCGGCTTGCATTTTGATCTACTGGGATGGTTTCCTTATTTCTCAGATTGGCTCTCCCTCTCAAATATCTGATGCAGATTCCCTTTGCTGTAGGTGTGAATTACCTCAGGTTTCTCTGGAGTTCTTGACAGTCCACATCAATATTTTCTTCCTCTGTTTTCCGCAGAAATTAAAAGCAAGAAATCATTACGTTATTCAACCTTATACACAAGCTATTACTTTCCAGCTTCTTCTCTAGTATAACATGACCAGGCAGGCTACATTTACCACCACATCCCTTTCAATATTTCAAGCCATATAATTACACAGATGACTAAGAAAGAGTTTTTCTCCAAATGATCACGAAAAGAAATGACACTGATTTGTTGTTACCTATGGAGATCAGGTTCATACATGTTTCCATCATCACATCTCTGTAGAGCTCCCTTTGACAAGAATCCAACAGAACCCACTCTCCTAGGGTAAACTTCACAGCCACATCGTCAAAGCTCACTGGCTCCTGAAATAATTCACAGCATTATTAAAATGCAGTTATTAGAAGAAAGATTAAAAACACAGAAGATACATTAGTCACCTGATAAGTTCCCTCCATGCGTTCTTAATACATTCACCTTATATCAGGGCTATCACAAACTTATTAATTATCCTTTCATCTTCTCACACAATTCTAAGAGTTCTATATGCCTATCTAATGAAGGAAATATGGACTGCTCTGCTCTGGTTTCAACTATTTGTACCTTAGACTACAAGTTCCTCCAACTGAGAACCCACAGTGAACAGCAGCTCTGCTGAGTATGCATAGTTATAAGTGTCTGTTAGCAAACTTCATCTACCTCTAGAGACTGGGGATTTCACATAAATGGGTGTAAACAGCTTAACTATAGAGAGGTGCTTGAGATATGGCTCAGAGGTTAAGAGCCCTGCCTGCTCTTCCAGAGGTCCTGAGTTCAATTCACAGCAACCACATGGTAGTTCAAAACCATCTGTAATGAGATCTGGTGCCCTCTTCTGGCATGTAGGCATACATGCAGGCAGAAAACTGTATTCATAATAATATTTTTTTTAAAAAAAAGAGGTGCTCACTGCTATGCAGTAGTTTATGACAACATAAAATAGTATTTCACAAACTATTATCACTGTCATTCTCAGCATATTTCTTAAATAGTGAAACATGGTTTTTATAATATCAAAACCTGAAAGAAAGTTTACATGAAAAATCTCTTATCATTGATCTCAAAGATAAGATAGGAAACACGGCTGACAAATTTTGCTACTTAGATCACTGAGCACATCTTTTTATAATGTGCTCATTATGAGTAACATCGTTAGGAAGACTGCTTTTTTTTCCATTTTTTTATTGAGAAAAGGAGAAAAAAAAAACAAGTTTCCACCTCCTCCCAGCCTCCCATTTCCCTCCCCCTCCTCCCACCCTTCTCCCCCTCCTCCCACCCTTCTCCCCCTCCCCCCACTCCTCTCCCTCTCCAGTCCAAAGAGCAGTCAGGGTTCCCTGCCCTGTGGTAAGTCCTAGGTCCTCCCCTCTCCGTCCATTTCTAGGAAGGTGAACATCCAAACTGGCTAGGCTCCCACAAAGCCAGCACATTACGTAGGTTCAAAACCCTGTGCCATTGTCCTTGGCTTCTCATCAGCCCTCATTGTTCGCCATGCTCAGAGAGTCCAGTTTTATCCCATGCTTGCTTTTATAAAAGTTTCTTATAAAAGATTATTAATTCAATACAAGTAGTTTCTCATCAATCAACCTTGACTTAATACTAAATACAACAAAGGGTAATTCTCTATGCTCCAATATGAGCACTACATACTATAATACTACATACTATAATAATGTCAGTGGCTAGTGACATCACAGGAACAATGGCACTGTTCTGAGAAAGAGATCAATGTCACAAAACATATGCTATCACAGCTGCATCAAATTCTGTAAATCTCACAAAACTTTTAGATTGTTAAAAAGAATTGCTTATTGAAATCTGTATGCAATAATAAATGTTTGGTACCATAAATACATTAGGAATAAGAAAATGATAGTTTGATCCAGACATGAAGTCACATATGAATATTACCAGACTCACAAAGAGGAGATAGAGGGACCTTGAATTCAAAGCCTGCCTGGGCTGAATAGCAAGAACAAGAAATTGAAAAAGAGTATGATAAACTTTGGAAATATACTACTCAGGGAACTCAGCCATAAAGACAAGATGGAACAGGACAGAGGAAAGAACAGCAGACTTCAGCGACATGAGATACAAACAGAAAACTCATTGACAGGAGAGGAGATCTTGATCAGCAACGAACCTGTTGGGGAACTTAGTTTGATTTTTCTATCACTATATACACTTATAAAAATCCTTAGAGTAAGTACCTTCACATCATCTATGATGACAAACCTTGTAAGTTTGGTTGTCCATAACAGATATCTTGAAAGGCATAGTTTCAATTTCTTCATTTTCATTTCCTTTATTTTTCTGGACACCAACCTTGTTTAACAGGATTTGAAATACATATTTCCCATGGTGTAGCCTATGGGTGACATTATTGACTGCCCTTCTAGTTGATACATTGTGTGTTTCATTTTCAAAATTTCTGTAATTCCTGAAGGGCCAGAGAAGTGGTTTATTGGGTAACAGCATTTGTTACCATGCATGAGAAAATGAGGTTAATCCCCTGAACCCACATAGTGGAAGGATACAACTCATTCCCAGATGTTGTATTATGAATTTCTCACACGGTGTACATGCATGGGTGTATTCACACGTGCATACAGAGAGGACACTAAAAATAATAAGTGTAACATTCTATGGTAGTAACCACTTATGTTTGGGATTGTTCTGAAGTATTGCATAAAACTATTTTAAGGGAGACAAAAAAATGGCTCAGTGTGTAAGGGCATTTGCACCCAAACCTGAATTCAATTAGTGCAAGTAAAACACCTGACTCCTGTAAGTTGTCCTCTGACATTCAGAGATGGGCACACCACACACACCTCATAAATGTATAAAAGAATTTAAATACAGTTGAGTGTTCTATTAAAACCCTCTGTATCCTCCTGCAAGCTCAGTGGACCGCTGAAACACAGCCTGTTACAATACAAGAGGACCAAGAGGTGAGTGACCAACCACTCAGCTGGACACCCCACTCTCTAAGCCCTCCACACAGGGGCAAAACCCAGGGCCCTTCCCCCTCTGCCTCAACTTCTCTAACCAGCCAGCAGGAGAGTTTCCTGCAGGTAGGCTACCCCAGTACTCCCATCCCATCCACCAGACCCTGAAAGCTACAAGTTCCACCCCACCCAAACTCGCATATACTCCAGCAACCTCAGTGGAACTCTGAAACACAGCCTGCCACTACACAGAGAAGACCAAGAGGTGAGTGATCAGCCACCCAGCAAGACACCCCATGCTCTAGGCCCTCCCTCCATAGTGGAACAAAAATCCCTGGCCCCTCCCCCACCTGCTATAGCCAGACAGCAGGTGAGTTTCCTGCAAGTAGGCTGCTCCAACACTCTGAAAGCTAAAAGTCCAGCTCCACCCCCAAACTCTCCAACTCCCCCCCCCCCCCCCCGCAGCCTCAGAGAAACCTGCAAAACAAGCTGCAACTATGTAAAGAGGACCAAGAGAGCAAACCAGGAGAGCAGGCCAAGAGAGCAGGCTAAGAGAGATCTCAGCAGCTCCCTGAGACACAGACACCGACAGTACAGAGCAGACCAAAAACAGTTTCCAAAGATGCAGACGGCCACTGCAAGTCTTGAACCAAGATGCAAAGACACTGCCAGCATCAATTGAAGGAAGAGATGGGTAGGCACCAATGCAAGAATTCATCCAACAACTTAAAAAGCAACACCAGAACCCAGTGATCATATAACAGGAAGACTTGATTATCCTGACCTAAAAGAAGCAGGAGGGGGGCTTGATGGGGCAGGGGGAGGGAAATGGGAGGCGGTGGCGGGGAGGAGGCAGAAATCTTTAATAAATAAATAAATTTAAAAAAATGAAAGAAAAGACAAAAAATTGGAAGAAATTAATGAATCCCTCAAAGAAACCCAAGAAAAAACAATCAAACAGGTGAAGCAAACAGTTCAAGACTTGAAGACTGAAATAGAGGCAATAAAGAAAACACAAACAAAGGGAATTCTAGATATGGAAAATCTGGGTAAACAAAGGAACTACAGATGCAACCACAGCCAACAGAATATAAGAGATGAAAGAAAAAATCTTAGATATTGAAGATACTATAAAGGAAATTGATTCACTGGTCAAAGAAAACAAAATCCAACAAATTCTTAACACGAATCATCCAGGAAATCCGGGACACCATGAAAAGACCAAACCTAATAATAATAGGATAGAAGAAAAAGAACTCCAGCTCAAAGGCACAGAAAATATATTCAACAAATCATAGAAGAAAACTTTCCCAACCTAAAGAATGATATCCCTATAAAGGTACAAGAAGCTTACAGAACACCAAATAGACTGGATCAAAAAAAAGTTCCCTCACCATATAATAATCAAAACACAAAACATACAGAATAAAGACTGTTAAGAGCTTCAATGGAAAGAGATCAAGTAACATATAAAGGTAGACCTATCAGAACTACACCCGACTTCTCAGTGGAAACCATGAAAGCCAGAAGGTCCTGAACAGATGTGCTGCAGACACTAAGAGACCATGGATGCAAGCCCATACTACTATACCCAGCAAAGCTTTTAATCACAATTGATGGAGAAAAGAAGATGTTCCATGACAAAACTAGATTGAAACAATACATATCCACAAACCCAGACCTATAGAAAGTACTAGAAGGAAAACCCCAACCCAAGGAAGCTAAATGCACCCATGAAAACACAGGCAACAGATAATCTCCCACCAGTAAATCCCAAAGAAGGGAAACACACACACACACTACCACCAAAAAATAACAGGAATTAACAACCACTGGTCATTAATCTCTCTTAAGATCAATGAACTCAATTCACCTATAAGAAGTTACTGGCTGCTGGGCGGTGGTAGTGCACGCCTTTAATCCCAGCACTCGGGAGGCAGAGGCAGGCGGATCTCTGAGTTCGAGGCCAGCCTGGTCTACAAGAGCTAGTTCCAGGACAGGAACCAAAAGCTATGGAGAAACCCTGTCTCGAAAAATCAAAAAAAAATAAAAAAAGTTACTGGCTAAGAGAATGGATACAAAAACAGGATCCGTATTTCTGCTGTTTACAAGAAACACACCTCAACCTCAAAGATAGACATTAACTCAGAATAAAGGATTGGGAAAAGATTTTCTAATCAAATGAACCCAAGAGGCAGGTGTAGCTATCCTAATATCTAACAAAATAGACTTCAAATTAAAATAAATCAGAAAAGATGGAGAAGGATACTCATAACAGGAACAATCCATCAGGATGAAGTCTCAATCCTGAACATCTCTGCCCCTAATACAAGAGCACCCACATATGTAAAAGAAACATTACTAAAGCTTAAATTGCACAT